GTTTCACTTATATGCAGATGACACTCAGTTGTATCTTGGCTTCAGACCACGAGTGCTATCATCCGTAACAGACACGTTTCAGTCAGTGACAAACTGCATCGATGGCATCAGGTGCTGGATCAAAAGCTAATTTTCTGAAGCTCAATGATGACAAGATAGAACAACTCATTATTACACCGAGAACAGCAAAATCTCAAGCCTTGTCACACCAACGACTGACTATTGGCAACTGCAGTCTTGTACCAAGTGATTCTGCAAGAAACCTAGGGATTTTTTTTATTCTGCCATGAATTTCAAAGGCCATGTCAGCAAAATTTGCACACATCAGGAACGTCAGCCAAATCCGAAAGTATCTGACTGAGGATGCAGACAAGACACTAGTCCAAGCTTTTGTCATCTCCCAGCTGGACTACTGCAATAACCTAATGTATGGCATAACCAAGACTCATTGGTCAAACTGCAGTGGATACAGAACACTGCTGCAAGAATGATCACGGGTATTCGACAACATCACTCCAGTACTAAATGGTCTGCACTGGCTGCCAATGAATGAATGGATACGGTTCAAAGTCCTGGTTCTGGTATTCAAAGCACTCCATGGGTTAGCACCAAGCTACATCCATGAGCTCATCAAGCCATACAGGCCAAGTAGAGCCTTAAGATCGACATCAGGTGGGGGGTCACCCATTTTGTTCTGGAGAGGTGGGGTGGGTGGTGGGGTCACCAATTTTGTACACATAAATAAGAAAAAAATATGATTATAAATTACGGGAAGGGGGGGTAATTGATTTTGTACATGAACATCAAAATTTGGGGTGGTGGGGGTGGTTCATTCACATTGTACATGACTTTCCATGAAAATCATCATTAACCCATTAGCTACCACGATGCCAAAAATGGGATCAGAGATGTTGTGTCCCTAGTTTCAATAGTATTGATGAAATGCTAATTTCAAGTGTGTCCACAGCTGGGGGCTTTACTCTAACACTACTAACAGTAATCTCAAGTGATATCCCTTGAAACTGCTTCCTGCAGTCCAACATTTTGTAGGTACACGCGATTTTTTTTTCGGAAAAGATTGCAGAGTCAAAAAGGTAAGTAGATAACTTGTTACATGTCAATATATGTAATTATCAACATGAAGCAAACTTGAAGTTCCATGTATGAACTAGAAAATGGTGTTTTTTATAATGTGAAGAGTTTTTGTGCTATCACTGACTGAAGTTGGATCACAAATATGGGATCATGCTATCAAGAGGGTAGGGGTTTCTTTGAAATACAATAATCCCATTATTGACCTAAATGGTTGCGCTTTTGTTCCTTTTTCAGACAATGTAGTGTTCATGAGGTCTTGTCTATGCTTGAAGGCGACAATTCGTATGATGAAGCAACAATTTACATTGAACCTCCCCCAGTAAGTGAGCAGGCAGATGAGGATAGTGGAGAAGAAAACGGCGATGACGCATCACCATCTAACCTGAACAAGAATCAACTCTCTGCCGGCGCTACTGTCACTGTCTGGAGACGAGGACTAAGGTCAACTGTTAGAGAGGACATTGATTCTGAAGAAATGGTATGACGTGTTCACATTAGTTTAATCTTGAAAAGATGCTTACATTTTTCTAATTGGTCTCAAATTCTTTATCTACAAAGTCTATGCATTTCATGTTTCACGTCTCTCACTTGTTCTCAGGTGCAGCTTCCTGATAGTACAGCCACACCTGCAGCACCAAAGAGAAAGCATAAATCTTCTCTTCCCAGTGGTTCTTCCTCAAAAAGCTCAAAACAGTAACAAAATGTAAATGAAAAAGGCAGATTTAGATGGATTGCCCAACCTGCAGAGGCTTCAAGACTACCAGATGACCCACTTGAATTGTTTCAACTTTTCTTTGATGATGAAGTCATTAAAATGATCACAGAGTACACCATTCTCCACGCTCGTTCCAAATGCAATGACACATTCACTAGTGAAGATGAAGTGCGAGCTCTCTTGATCATCTTCATTGTTTCTGGATACAGTCCAGCACCAAGACGTTATCTATATTGGGGTGCACAATGCAGCAATAGCCAGTGCGATGACAAGCACCACCTCAATTAAATGACCAGGTATCTTCACGTAAGTGACAATGCACAACTGGATGCGGATGACAAATTGTTCGGCCATTGATCAACATGTTCAACGAACAATTTCTGAAGTGTAAAGACCTCAGCATAGATGAATCCATGGTTCCTTACTTTGGAAAGCAAAGTTGCAAACAGTTTATCCGGGGGAAGCCCATTAGGTTTGGGTAGAAAATGTGGGTGTTGGCAACTCCACTGGGATACTGTCTGTAGTTTGAGTCATACCAGGGTGCACGGGGTAGACAAGTGCAGTATCCAGGACTAGGAATGGGCAGATCAGTCGTTCTGGATTTGATTTCAGAGCTCCAGGCAGAAACAGGTGACTCTTTCCATCTCACTTTTGACAACTTGTTCTCATCATTCAACCTTGTCTACAAGTTGACTGAAAATAGCATCGCCTGCACAGGGGCCATTCGTGCAAACCGAATTGGAGACTGACCTCTTCAGTCTGTGAATGAGATAAAAAAGGCACCAAGAGGCACCTTTGACTTTACGACAAACATGACCACTGGGGTTGTCCTAGTGCGCTGCAAAGCGATGGTCTCGATCTGATGGGAAAAGAATCGACATTGGCCAGCCTTTCCTGATCAATCACTACATCAAAACGATAGAAGGAGTAGACCGATTTGGTCAGAATGTTTACAAATACCGCACTTCAGTTCGTTCCAAAGAGTGGTGGTGGCCGATATTCAATTACTGCTTGGACCTGTGTGTTAATCAAGCTTGGCATCTCCATCGACTCGACACAAAATGCACGGTTCAAGAGCAACGATCTACTGACGATCCGTTACACCATTGGGAGAGCTCCTATCACAGATTCGGTTTGACAGATTGGACCACCTTGTCCAGAAGTTGCTTACCCAGCTGAAATGTTCTGCATGTCGTATGAAAACCAAACACAAATGCAGCAAGTGCAAAGTTGGAGTGCATGACAGATGTTTTAATAACTTTTACTGTCGCTGAAGTGGTAATGGAAGCCACAACATGACATACTACTTAGTGGTACTTAACATGTTTTGGGGCAATTCATTCCTAAGAGTTAGAGTGCAACCATCCAAAATGGAACAAAAACAAAATTAATCATATTGTTTTGCTTGTTCTTTCATGTGCTTCAAAAAACCCTCCCCTCTCGATACCACGATCCCAAAAGTGGGATGAGCATATTTCCTCTTCAAATTCATACTTAAGAAAAGAATTAAAGAAAATTAACTCTTGATACCTTTATTGTGAGTCAAATATGTTGTGATAAAAGTATTTTGACTTAAAAAAACAATTTGGCATCTAGATCTAATGGGTTAAGATAAATTTGTCAAATTCTGATTGGTCAATAGCCAAAGCATGTGAAACCATGCTGGCGGATTTGCCAGGGTGTGTCAACTCTGTCACGTGACAAACTACGCGTGTTGTAAAATTACCTTGACCTAAGATGGAATGTGGCTGCCAAACGGCTGATCGCTTCGAAATTTTAGAGTTGGCGTATATAATAATGAGTATAAACAGAGAATTAAAATTGTTGCCATAATTTTTTATTTGTTTGTGTTAATAAAAAATATATTCAAAAAATTAAATGTTTAACAAAACCTCTAATTCTATATTATTTATCATAAACTAAGCCATCCCGAGTTATCCCCCTTTATGACCATTCGGGAACAATCATGGCGAAACGTTTTGCGTCTCATTCTGCCGAAGATTGAATGTTGTTGTTCAAAGATAAGCTAAATAAAAAGATCCTAAGGGTAATAAATTCGTCACACGGTGTTTTGAAAGGTAGTACGGGACTGTAACACCCATGTAAAATCGGTATTTCCTTCGGCTGCGTCTCAGTAAATTAAATATGGAATTTACAAGGGTCTTACAGTCCCGTACACCCTTTCAAACACCGTACATATTACCTTAAGGTTAGTTTAAATAGTCAACGTAAATTTCGTTTTAAAAAGTCATCACAATATTACCCCATCCACTACTCTCCCTTTTATTTAAGCAGTTTGGCGACACGACTGTCGTGACCACCAAGATGAAATGTAAACAGACACCCCATCACAGAGCGACATGTACGTTAATGTTTCGTATCAGCTTCCCTGTGACACGAACTCAAATGCATGATACTTGCAATTGAATGACTACATAAATCAGTATCAATGGCAAACAAATATCGTTGTTTATGCCAAATCAAATGAAAATGTCGACGATTATGCTCTGCATGGATACATATATATACTCATGCCAATAATGGTTGTCACCCCCTCCAATTTTTTTAATTGGAGAGGGGGTGTGAGGTGTGTGGGGAGTTGGAGTGGGGAGGGGGGTGACAACCATTATTGGCATGAGTATATATTGAAAGCCCAGTATCATAAATAGGCAACTTTTGATCCATAATAATGATCAGTTATTGGCTAATGATTGGCTTTGATATTTCGCTCCTGGATTAATTTCATACATAAAGCCATTTGTTTTCTTATAATATTACAAAATTAATCATAAACAGATTTATAGGAAAATATAATTGATAAATTCAACCATATATGTTTTTGTACAATGTACGTGCTTGCATATAATGTCGGTGCTAAAGGACAATGATAAAGAAGAATACATTTACAGTTAATAATTAAACTGGTTCAATGTCACATCACATTTGATAACAACATTTATGCCCATTTTTTTCACACAGTTTGCCGAAAATTGGCGATGCGCATAGGGAACCGGAAACTAGGTTCAAGTAACATCCCCTCGCGGAGAATTATCAGAGATGAAAATACAAAAAAATACTTGAAGGAAATGTAACAATAAGATTAATTCACATCAGAAAAAATTACGCTTAACGACATCACTGGTAATTACCCGAGTAAAATGTATTTAACCTGTCCGGATTTTCTCACAATTTAAAGGGAGATAACTCTAAATTACCATACTTTCTGTTCATGCCACGATGAGACCTGATGAACATAAAAAGAAAAAGAACACCCAGTATAAAAAGAAACATGGAATTAAAACAGGAAATAATGACGCAGAAGAAACTCAGTCGGGTGACAGAAAACGGAATGTCAACAGTCGAAGGGGAGGCAAGACTGCAGACGGACGAACGCGTCAAATAGCCGCACCGTCCGGATTTCGATCAGGACAAAGTTTAGGCCAAGCATCAGGGAACAAATATGATTCCTCTGATTCTGACGTAAGATGACCTATATATTACGTACAGAATCACTTTATAATATATTTGATAATGGTTTATCCCGATTGTTTGTTTCTGTGCTGAGGGGAGGGGTGACCATTAAAACTTTTAGCTAAGATACCTAGCGTTCACTGTTCATGTCAGTGAACGCTATGTATCTTATTGAAACTCTTGTGAAAACGGGTGAAAATGAACTGTGCATCCCCCACACCCTTCTCAAAAAGCTGCATCCGCCCCTGAACTGACCAGATGATATGGGTAATCTGGTCATAACTGCCCATTTGAATGATGAAGTTTGGTTAATCTATTATGCAAGACGTTTCCAAATAATACATCGTAAGTCGCTGGTCTTTTATTATTGGGGTGCGGTGAAGACAGGGAATATTGTCTATTGAGCTTGGCCTCGGCTCTGAATCATATTTTGCTGCCTCCATCATTTCATCAAAAGTCATGGATTTTCAGACGCTTAAGACCATGCATTGTTTTCTCGCTAATCGCATTAACAAGTATAAAACACATCAATGACTTATAAAAGAAAACGTTATGTTATAAGCAACCAATATTCTGACTCTAAGTATTTAAAAATGCATTTTGCATTAACCCTCATTACAGCAAGAGTATAACTCTGCCATCTGAAAACTTATGATGTCCCAAAACATTTTACCTGATGATCATTCATTTTTTGATAGCCCTTGACCCCAATTCATTTGACACCTTAAGTTATGAAGTCTTTGAAAGGCATTTAGAAGTTGGACGAACATGAATACATGACACATTTTATGGATAACAACTTCTTTTTTATTCTTTATACGTTTCATAGCTAGTTCTTGCTCCTTCATCAGGTGAATGACGAAGGAGCAAGAATTAGTTCTGAAATGTTGTATAAAAAAATAACAAAGAACTTGTTATCCATAAATTGTGTCATGTATTCCTAAAGTTGTGTTCAAATTTGTAACTGTTTTATTCGAAAAAGGTAGAACTGTATAATTTTGTCAAGACATTTCATTGTCATAAATTTGCAAACCCCATCTCACTCCTAATCTCACTCTTGCCCCCACTCATAAAATGGTCAGTCTTTTAGAAACTGGCTTTAGTCAATCTTGCTGGGATTGTACATGCATTAGAGTTTGGCCTGAGTCTTCATCATCTGTTGTTATAGACTGAGTCAAGTGATCAAAGAGCCCCTGTGTTTGAGCAGCGGAAATTCAGCCGGCGACAGATTGTCAGTAACTGGGACAAGTACGATCTACCAGACCATGGGGAGGAAACGGCTTCATCTCGGGGGGAGGACTTCAGCAAGCTGCTGTCTTCAGCTGGTCAGTATGCATGATAGCCATGATATGCATGATAACTAAAACATAGTCAGCAACAGGGCCAACTATAAAGTTTGGGATTGGGCAGAAAATGCTGGAGGTTTGCTCATGAAAGATAAATTAAATCTTAAGATCACATATTAATTGCCAAGCTCTGACATAACTTCAATGAACGTTTTTAGCTTACTTGATTCTAAGTCAAGTACGCTTATGTCACACTTTATCATGACAGTGTACAATATTTCTGTGGCATAATTGTATTCATTTCATTTTCGAATAGGCTGTACGACACACAAATATGTATAAAATCTTGGATTTTTCATTTATGTAGTAATCATAATGATTATGATAATAATGCTCTGTCACAAGTCCAACCCCATACATGGTTGTAGTCCAGCGTCTGGGAAATAGGATGGAGATTCCATAAATGTACTGTTGCTGTGACGAATTACAGATTACATCTCCAGAAAGAAATAAGTTAATACGTTTCAGAATCAGTATTTCACTTATTGGACAGATATTCAGTAAGTTCAAGGTATATGAGTGGGTCATATTTGTTAATTGTTTTTATTCTCAGACATGTATCATGCTTACCTGTCTCACAAGCTGAAGATGAACTAAACTTGTTGAATGCATTATCATGAGGTATTCCTTACATTGTCTATGTATCTCACAAATGTCTTCCAGGTGATGCTTTTGCCCAGTTTCGATTTAAAGATGAAAGGGATTGGGAAGGTGGACCCTCCCCTGCTGTTGATAACAGTCAAATTGTCTCCCTTGATTGTCCAAGTTTAGCCACAGCTATTGACTGTATACCACTGTACAAGAGACTCGGAGTAGACAAGGAATCTTTTACAGTAGGTATTTTGTTCCGAAAATATCTTCAATCAGGACACACATTTCTTTCAATGCAATGGCACCCATGAAGATCAGGGCTAGAACTGATCTTCACCAACCCATGCTTATCATATGAGGCAACTAATGGGATTGGGTGGTCTGGCTCGTTGACTTGGTTGATACATGTCAGTGTATCCTACTTGCACAGATTGATGCTCTTGATATCAGTCATTGGATGGTCTGGTCCAGACTCGATTATTTTCAGACTGCCATCCTCTAGCAGGAGTATTGCTCAGTCCAGCATTCAACAACAAATCTTCCAGACCTAGTCTGGTGTACCTGTGATCAAGTTAAAAATAGGTGATAATATTTGTGTCATGGAATAAATATTTTTTATTAGAAAGTATTGTAACAAATGTTATTTTTGAGATGACCCTTTCTTAATAAAGAACAGCTCCTAGTACTTTGGGGGACGGTGGGGTAGTCTAGTGGTTAAAGCTTTGGCTCGTCACGTCAGCCGAAGACCCGGTTCGAATCCCCACATGGGTACAATGAGTGAAGCCCATTTCTGGTGTCCCCCGCCGTGATATTGCTGGAATATTGCTAAAAGTGGCGTAAAACCAAACTCAGTCAGTCAGTCCTAGTACTTTGGGGGGGTTTAGTCCCATCTGGGATTTGAACCTACACTTACAGGGTGAGGCCCCTAATAGCCAACACACAAAATCAGCCATCTTACATACTCTCTTTAACCCTCAGATTGCTGACTTTGGGTGGCAATGGTTCACTCCGAGAGTGTGAGTTCGAATCCCTGATGGGACTCAACCCAAAATGTACTGGAATCTGTACTTTTCAATCCCAAATATAACATATGTTGCATCTGACCACTTTCTAAAAAGGCATTGGTATTAACGAAATGTACAGTGGTGTGTGCCTCCAAAAATATGTTCTATTTCTAGAAATATACAGTGTCCAGAATCATTATTATATCAGGAATAATATATCCCGATATTGTGCTATTTTGGTTGCAGCATTTACTACATATATAATTAATATGATAATGACTAAAAGCGTAGCACCTCGAAACAACCCATTGCAATCTCACTACAGATATACAGGGAACTCTTTTTACAACTGATAGGAGTAAATTAACACTGTGCTCACGTGACGTACACACCTTTGATGTTAGATGCCAGCTGATGAATTGCAAAACAGACATCATCAAGTGTTGTCGATGACGAGTATGTGGGATAGTGTACCTTAGTTATGAATATGTATATTTTACAACTATAGAGCAAAACCTGCAGTTAAAATGGCACAGTGCTAGAATATATTTCTCTTGGTAACATAATAGTTTCAGAAACTAAATTTTCCGGTCACTGCATCAGAATTCATCTTGTTATATTATTGGGTATAATCACCAGTACATTGCCGGAAACCATGTGCACAGCTGATAGCTATTTCCAGCTCTGTATACAAGATAAATACACACAGTAATCTTAATCCCTGCATATAATACAACGCCTAGCAAAAACAAATTGAAACTGAAAAGGTAAATAATCTTGTCTAGCGATGTTTGTTTGCAAATTTGACGTCTTCACTGACAATGTCATTTTCTCTTGTTCCTTCACGTAAAGAAATACAATGGTTTTTTTACCACCAGAGAAAAGTTTGATGAATGTTTAACTTATAGATAAGCCGACCCCATTCTACAGATGGCTTTACAGAACCGTAACCTAAATTCGTGGATAACCTTGATTCGTGGATCGCGGATATTATTGTGCTAGCTCGTAAATTAAGTCTCGACTGACGTCACGAAGCAGTACTTTTGATGTACATACAATGCCATGCCTCGCTAACAAAAAAGTTCCGAATCTCTGCAACATGCGCAAGTACACCAAATGTAATTGTCCAGCATTGAGATAAATAGCCCCAGATCACTAATACCACCATTGCCAAATTATATTTTTACAAAATGTCAAGTAAAAAAGATACCGCTAGCTCCAACCTTCTCACTTCTCGTCTGTTTTCCTTGGTGTCAATACGTACTGCAGTGGGATGTCGTACATAGTGGTATTAAGTAACCGACTACATAATCCACGAAACAAGGTGACGTCACATTTGTGGGCACATGAATGGGTGATGATTGCAAATGGCTTCCGTAAACAAACGCTTCATTCACGTGTGGAGTATTAGGCATTTTCAATTTGCTGAATCAATGAATAAAATAATCAGTGCGTATACAAAATGAAATCATGCATTATATCCACGAATCAAGGTTACGCAAGTGTATATTTTGGTCCTCAAAATGTGGCTTATCTATGGTGATATACAGTATATGGCACATTTGGATTTGGATTTGGATCTGGAAACCAGATTTCTGGATAAATAAAGCATTTCATGAAGCATATAACTTTGAGACTTTTCTATCTCACATGATGCATTTCTTATTTCTTCTTCGACCCTGATGTGGAAATACCTTAGAACTAAGCTTCAAAACAACTCCCCCGAACACATCCCTCATCACCATGGTGATCGCTTACATAATGGGTCACAACCCCACCACATCATTCACAGTCTCAGCAAACAAGCTCAATATCGTACATATATCTGACAACCAAGGACAAATGTAGAACAAGGATGTTAATATCTGGATCATCTCTTCTTTAGCATGCTCAGAGTTGTGGAAATTTTGAGAACTTCTTTGCAGTTGTGGAAAATTTGACAGCATTTGACAGATGTTTTCATTTTCTTACAATGTTTGCATATTAAATGACATTGACTGTTGACAGTAAAAGTGTAATTTTTAATAACAAGATAGAGTTCATGCATCATCTGTCAGAAGAGAAACAAGTTTTTGTTGTCTTTACATTGTTGTTAGATCCGGGAGTAGTTGTGACTCTGGGTCAAGTTAGCTAATGTCGTAGCTTGCTTCACCGTCTCTTGAACAGTCACAGGGGAAGGGTTATATATGGCTATTACCGAATATGACTGTAGATAAGTCAAATTTTGAGGACCCAAAAAGCAGTCTCTAGAAGCGAGTCGGCTTATGTATAGGTTACACTTTTTTGTCAGACTTTTTTTCTGGTGGTAAGAAAACAACATGGTATCTCTTCCTGAACAAACAAGAGAAAAACAACTTTGTCAGTGAAGATGTCAGATTTGCAAATAAACATCACTAGACAAGATTTTTTATCTCATCAGTTTTTGTTAGGCATTGTATTATATGCAGAGACTAAGATGACCTTGTGTACTTGTCTCGTACACGTAGTCAGTTTTGTTCATAAAGAATGTAATTTGCCACATCAGTAGTTAGGTGTGGGCCTCCCAAAATATGTTCTATTTCTAGAAATGTACTCATGGAAAACGAATAAGGGAACACGTGAAAGTACAAGTGTTCCTTATTCTTTTCCAGAATTTCACCTACAGTGCAATACAAAGCTTGTGAAGAAACCTGGTAAAGAATAAGGGAACACTTGTACTTTCAGGTATTCCCTTATTTGTTTCCATGAGTATATTATACAGTTTGATTTTGATTTCACCTTTGCACTATGAACTCACTCTTATGCCTCTCAAATTGTGTTTACTTGCATAGACATCTTCACAGAAACTTCTTTTCCCCAAAAATTTTGCATACTTGTTGCATCCCTTGGGCATACAACAAACCTGTGATTGGGGTGTGGGGGTATGTTCACCCTGATTATGTTCCTTGTTTTGTGGCCATCTGAAGCATCTAAGACCCCATCCTCCAATAATAATAATAGTAATAATATGTGTATTTATACCGCGCTGGATTCCATACAAAAATGTATGCTCAAAGCGCTACATATAAAGGCGATAGAGTGCTACAAGACATAAAACATTTGTACATGAAATTCAACAGTCTTGAGTGAGTTGTTTTTACACTGCTTTTCCACTTTTACACTGCACTATTCTAGCAATATCACAACTGGGTACACCACAAATGGGCTTCACACATTGTACCCATGGGGTCTTCCACATGAAAAGCTTTGACCACAAGGCTACCCTACTGCCCCTGTATCTCATGAAACACTCTCATACCCTTAGACCCTTGAAGATCCGGGGTAGAATAGGTCTTCAGCAACCCATGCTTGCCACAAAAGGCGACTATGCTTGTTGTAAGAGGCGACTAACGGGATCGGGTGGTCAGGTTCGCTGACTTGGTTGACACATGTCATTGGTTCCCAATTGCGCAGATCGATCACTGGATTGTCTGGTCCAGACTCGATTATTTACAGACCGCTGCCATATAGCTGGAATATTGCTGAGTGCGGCGTAAAACTATACTCACTCACTCACTCACTCATACCCTTATGTAAAACAGCCTGTACTCGTCGCCTTGTCTGCTCTCGCAGGAGAGCTAGAAAGTTAGAGTTATCTGCCCATGATGAATTTAGGACTCTGGGTTCCTTAGTACACAAAGATTCCTCTCTAGCATTATTTCTGTAACCATATACAGGGATTTACCTTGAGTCTTGTATTTGAGGGTCCCTGGGACTCATGCTTGTAGTTTTCAGGGGTCCTGGACAACAAAATGGGGGTCCCATACACTTAAATATTATTACTAATACTGTTAATGTATTGTGTGTCACGATCATCACATTAATTGTTACAGTAATGAAATAGCAAATGATACCATAACTCAGCTAGTAGCAAACTCAGTGATAACTTGTTGTTACTTGATTGGAATTTTTACAAAACTATTTGGACTTTCTCTGTGTCCCTGTGGATGTGCTAATAAATTTTGTCAATTTTTATGCGTATAGGACGCAGGAGTTCGCGTCCTGTAAATCCCTGATATAAATCACTTTATGTTTGAGACTGTATTTTAGCCAATCACTATCATCACACTGTTTATTTGTTGTTTGTTTGATGCTGCACTCAATAATATTGCAGCTATATGGCGGTGGTCTGTAAAAAATCAAGTCTGGACCAGACAATCCAATAGCATGAGCATCGATCTACGCAATTGGGATACAATAATACGTCAACCAAGTCAGGACCCATCCATAGGAACTGTCATGTTTTCGGTGATCCTGCCCTCATTCCTTCAGACAGTGATTTATAGGATATGACCCTTCATTCCTTCTTTCCTTCATTCATCCACATCCTATGTATTTTTCCAGGAAAATCAGATAATTCTTCAGGATCTAGAAGCAAAGAAAAACCTTGATTTGTACAACTGCTCACCAGGGCTGCCATCATCAAGTGATGCAGAAAAGTCTAATTGTACGTCAGTGTCAACAGCAGTGCACGAGACAGGTGGTTCTGACCACAAGCAGAAGCCTAAAGGGGAGATAACTCTTACAGGCTTAGTGAAACCAACAAACTCTGTGCTGGACTTTCGGAAACCAACTACAACTTTGTGTAAGGAAGGTGAACAAAGAACTGTGGGTGTAGAAACTGTGAAAGTGGAAACTGAAGATAAAGCTACCCTGGATGAAGATTTAGACTTCCTGTTGTCCCTGGATACCCCTAGCAACAAGACGCAGGCTGCAGTTTCATTAGTTGAAGATAAGACTGGTAGGAATTGATGTTTGGTTTTATTGTAATATGGTATTGAAACAATTGTTGATAGATTACTCTATCCGGAAATCTGTTTAATGACTTATTTTATATACTGTCTTGAATCACAAATGACCATATCTTGTGAGTGAGTGAGTGAGTGAGTTAATTTGGTTTTACGCCGCTTTAGCAATATTCCAGCAATATCATGGCGGGGGACACCAGAAATGGGCTTCACACATTGTACCCATGTGGGGAATCGAACCCGGGTCTTCGGCGTGACGAGCGACGCTTTAACCACTAGGCTACCCCACCGCCCCCATATCTTGTGACATTTTTGTCCACATTTACAGTTACCATAGTTAGACTAATGTTTTGACTATGTCCTTCAACAAAAACTTCACATATCAAACATCATTTATATTTACATGGTTGTAATTATTTCCTGATTTGAGAGTCCATATCGGATGGGGTGAGGGGGTAGCCTAGTGGTTAAAGTTTTTGCTTCTCTCATCAAAGACCCGAGTGCAATGTGTGAAGCCCATTTCTTGCTCACTCTGTTCTGCTCCAGGCTCTTTCACTCATTCATTTCCTTACTTTGCTCAGCTCCACTCCATTCTGCTGTTTTTTATTCATTCACTTAGTGAATGCTCTTATGCTGCTCTTGTCCATTAGACCGCCACCGTGGTGTAGTGGTTAGAGCGTCCGCCCGCAGAGCGGAAGGTCGCGGGCTAGATCCCCGACAGCGTCATACCAAAAGACGTTAAAATATGGTACTTGTTCGTCCCTGCCTGGCTCTCGGCATTAATGGGTACATCAAGGACTGGTCGGCTCGGAGTCAGTATAATGTGTCTGAATGGGGTATTCATGCTTCACTGCGGCTTGGTATCTCAGTGGGCTAGCACTATAAAACCAGCTTATGTCTGGGCTAGTACAAGCAGCCGCACATACACACGCATGCACGTCGTCATATGAGCGAAATATTCTCAAGCACAACGTTAAACCCAATGTCACCTCACCTCACCTTGGTATCTCAGTGGGCTAGCACTATAAAACCAGCTTAAGTCTGGGCTAGTACAAGCAGCCGCACCTACACATACACACGCATGCACGTCATCATATGAGCGAAATATTCTCCAGTGCGACGTTAAACCCAATTTCACCCCACCTCACATCTTGTCCATTATACCTGTTTGGCTCATTGTTGTTGAATCCACTCCACATTTCATTCTCATTCAGTCACTCCTCTCCACCCCTCTCCACTCTAACCTCACCCATTTTCTCTGCTAGCAAGGGTCAACTCAAATCATCTTAGAGGGTCTGTAATGGAAGGATTAATACTGAGATCATTTGACCCACTTTCTATCTAACAAAGGTGTCTATGTAATTTCAGGTACAGCTGATCCCGTGACGGGTGCGCCAACCAAACCCATCTCAAGTACCAAAATAATTCCGCCTGCTGCCAAGTCAGGTTTGTTGTTATTTAACATAATTAAGTATTGGTAAATAATATATGACAAGTCTAAGCTATGTTTATCAGATATATTTGAAACAAATTCAAACATATAAAGTACTGATTATGATTCATGCATAATAGTGACATGTATATATCAGCTATATTTGGTATTTTGTTTTACTTGAATGGTTATCATGCTAACGAAATGAATCTGTCATTCTTGTATTATTCTTGCCAGATGGTGTTAAGGAGGAAGAGCTAGAGGATTGGCTGGACAGTGTCCTTGGTGACTGACTCAGATGAGATGTGAATAATGTTACTGGGAAAGGGAGTTGGTGAGGGGCTTGTGTTACCCTGCCATTTTTGGTTCCTTTTTGCTGAACTTCTTGCCCTGTTTGTGCCTGAACCCAGGTTAGACCGGGTCTACCGAAACGGGGTATGAATCGACCACATGGATGGGGTAGTCAGGCTCGGTGATTTAGTGGACTGTGTGTCATCATTATAATCACCGGATTGTCTGGGCGTTTACAAGCTGCTTTATAGCTGGAATGAGAGTGGCATTATCCAACAAACACGCAGAAATCTTACAGTTGCCAGCATATGATAATAGTGTGGAAGATTCCAGGATTCTTCCTGATCACGATTCTTGTTTTTTCTGCAGTTAGATTTGGGATTCACTTAGTGGATTACTGCTTAATTACTGCAATTTCAGGATTTCCCCACACATTCTGTGATGTAAATGAAATACTGCTGATAGCAGCGTAAGACCAAACTCCTGTGTTGTGAATCTGAAGTACCGGCTGATAGCAGCGTAAGACCAAACTCCTGTGTTGGGAATCTGAAGTACCGGCTGCAATGCTCATCACATTAGTTCTGTTATGTTGAACGTGCTGAATATATGTCAGCTGATCAGTTATTGTGCTGTATGGAAATAAATGCATGCATATGTATATGCTTTGTATTAAAGGAGATGAAGGAATTTTTCTTGTACTTGTATCCATTTTCACAGTAACATTTTCTTCAGTTGATAGGATAGTAACACCCATGGGGAGCCTGGGTTAAAATGTGTCCATAGCAACCCATGCTAATCCACACACACAACACAACACAACACAACACAACACACACACACACACACACACACACACACACACACACACTGAGACACACACACACACACACACACACACACACACACACACACACACACACTGGATCCGCCAATGAATACGTCAGTTACTGGTCAAAAATTTAGTCTTTACAGACATATAGCTGGAATATTGCTGTGTGTGACACATTAAAGGGAACAAACATACAATAGACAATGGCACCAATTGAAATACGTCTTGTGCTTGAGTACAATCTAAGTGAGGTTAAGCACAACATGGTTAAGGGAAAGAATTTAAAACATTTCTCACATGAAAAATAAGAGAAAACGCCAGATCGTTCTATATTTTATGTTTTATGGCTTTGTCAAGAACAGCCAAAGTCACAAATTAACAATAAAAGTCTGTGCATGGCATTTCGAAGTGATACACAGAAATGGGGAAATTTATGGATGACAACTTCTGTAATCTAAGCCGCAGCATGTTCTTGGTTGTTCTTGAGGTGAATGAACACAGGGAAGGAGCCGGATGGATGTACATATATATGGCTATCTGCTTCCTAGTTGTCATGTACTTGAAAATGGAGCATACTCAGAAACACCACGTTCCTTATATTAAACTGACACCCAGAAAGCATAAGGTGTTGGTACCTCTCCATCTTTGATGTAGAAAAGACAAAGAAACCCATTCATATAACTTCATTAGTTCCAAACATAAAGGAACTATTGCATGTTTAGATAATGATTGATCAAATGTACTGTATCAGCATGTATATTTTTTCCAACAAAACCAACCTGTACCACTTCCTGAGTCCCCTTCCTCGAAGTGATCCGTTCCTCGAAGTGATCGTAGCGATAAGACGATTCTAACTCCCGTACTTTAACTATTACACAGCAGTGCAAAAGAATACCCAGTTTTGAATATCCTCAGAAAGAGATTTTACTTGGTGTAAAGGACTCAATAGATGTGAAAATCGTATGAAAGGACAACTGACAATCAGTGATGACACATATATTTTGACCAACCCAAGCTTCCTGGTTAGCACAAATTTGTAAACTTTTAAAACAGTGGGACTTTTTTCTGTTCTGTGTCTTGACACCAGTTTGTGATTCCTCAAAGCAGATTTTATGGCACATCCGGACACCGTGCCCCCAAACCTGTACGAGATGATCAAGTGGACTCTTGGTGCTGCCTAGTATGGCAACAGTTATAAGCTACCTTAATAGCTGAAGCTTCTACACTGAGTTCAAATGGCACGACATACTCTGTTCAATGGGCTAGTAGTACGATTTAATTCTCAGCTCCCCGAGGAGTATTCAACCAAAACTGCTAATAAAGCGCTTGAAGGTTCCACTCACATATCCATAGCATCCTGTCTGGTACCCATTCATTGCTAACAGAGGCAAATTTCGAACATCACATATATTTAAGGGTCACTGCATGTTTCAGTGTTAGGGGGCTAACGTTCTAGTGACATGAAGTTAGACTGCCTCCGTGGTCTAGCGGTTAGTGCGTCTGATAGGAGAGCCGAGGGTACATGGTTCGAATTCCAGGTCGCGTTATACAAAAACACGTTAATATATTTTTACCCTGTCTAGGGCTTGGCATAAACACGAAATTGTGGTTTAATAGTACGGAGTGTTTCTGTGGCGTATCCATGTCAAACTGCTATTTCTTGGGCTTGCACTAGAGAAACTGATGAACGGTTAGTGCAAGTGGCCAGTCACGCCCATGCGGGTGGCTTTCTAAATCCAGTGATCATGAAGCAGATCACTTTATCTCAGGATACAAGCCTACCAGTCGCACACCCTTAATATCGCCTAATTTGAATCTCTACAAAATACCTCCCCGGTGCTTATGACTGGGGAAGAATAACAGAAATTGAAAGAAGCTGGTGAAGAATAACAGAAATTGAAAGAAGCTGGTGAAGAATAACAGAAACTGAAAGAAGCTGGGGAAGAATAACAGAAATTGAAAGAAGCTGGGGAAGAATAACAGAAATTGAAAGAAGCTGGGGAAGAATAACAGAAATTGAAAGAAGCTGGTGAAGAATAAAAGAAATTGAAAGTAGCTGGGGAAGAATAACATAAATTGAAAGCTGCTTGTCGATGCTGTATTTGTTGACACGATAGTTTCAACTTCCACTCACAGATCTTGTAGTTTGAGCCGATTGAGTCAGTGAAGCAGAATGGGACACAAGTGGTCACACAGTGGATCATTTGTTTAAATGATGTAGACTTCACCACATGGTACAAGACTGCACTGATGCAATGACAATACGCCCAGCACACGTATGTGAGATATGTCATGGATTGGTTGTTGTATACGCCATTTTAAGATCCGGGTTAGAATTGGTCTTAAGCAACCCGTGCTTGTCGTAAAAGGCGAATAATAGGATGGGGTGGTCCGACTCGCTGATTTGGTCAACACGACATCGTATCCGAATTGCGTCTTGGTCCAGATTCGATTATTTACAGGCCTCCGTCATAGAGTGTGGCGTCAAACAATCAAACAAACAAATGGTTGTTGTTAAATTCGAGACATAACACTATCTCGGCTATATTAGTGTAAATATTGGAATCTGAACCAGAAAATCGAGTGATTTACAACATTATCATTGGGATACGATGGCGTGTGCATCTCCCGAGTAAGCCTGGTCTCACTATTGTATTGCTACACACCAGATCTTCACGGAAGGTGAGGTGAAATTGGGTTTAACGTCGTGCTTGAGAATATTTCGCTCATATGACGATGTGCATGCGTGTGTATGTGTATGTGCGGCTGCTAGTACTAGCCCAGACTTTAGCTGGTTTTATAGTGCTAGCCCACTGAGACACAATGCCGCAGTGAAGCATGAATACCCCACTCAGACACATTATACTGACTCCGAGCCGGCCAGTCCTTGTTGTACCAACAAGTACCATATTTTAACGTCTTTTGGTATGACGCGGTTGGGGATCGAACCCGCGACCTTCCGTTCTCCGGGCGGACGCTCTAACCACTACACCACGGAGGCGGTCTATTCTTCACGGATCTGCACGGATCTCTGGCATGTCAACTTGACTTCAAGATGTCATACTGTGGTTGATTAAGAAAGGTAATCAAGAGTCATTTTGATACATTTATTACAAAAATGAAATACAAATGGTAGAAAAGCACAAGCATTCCTTTACAGAGTTACCACTGGTTCTCAAAAGGCCAATCGTAAATTTGAAAATCTGCATATTTGCACTGTTGTAGTGTCCAAAGCATTGAAAGGACCACAAAGCAACGCTTCACAACTTCAAAGATCCTGAAGAATAATACACTTGAAGTTAGTACTCAGTACTTCATGCCCGAATATTTTATGCCTACATGTACATTGTCGGAAGAAAGCTGTGACGTCAGATGAGTGAAGGTAATTTAATGCCGCTTTTCAGTTGAGGCGTGTTAACTTGACCAGGGGCGTAGCTACCATTATCAAAAAAAGGCCGGGCTTACATATGATTGTTGCTAAAAAGGTTGGGCAAGCTCCCAATACTATGGAAATATAAAGCTTTGCTACCTATCGGGCTTACACGAAAACAAATGGCTTGCTACGCGCCTGTTGACGCGGGATGAGATTCCAAACTGATGCATGTCTAAGACCCTTACCATTTCGATGAAACCTACAAGAACCTTTATGGTGCTGACAATCCAAGAAACATAGATCGACTCCAGTTTCGAATCCAAGATCACAATTGTTGGCATGTCTCTAGTCCGTTTTGTAGAATTTTTATCGTGTAGCCTTTTAAACCAATTGCCTCGTTTGATATTTGCCTAACCATGTGGCTGAGCGCTCTAGGCGTCTGACTTTGTGTGCTGGCGATTAGGTGCCTGACTCTGAGGGTGTGGGTTCGAATCCCAGATGGGACTCAACCCCAAAAGTACTAGAATCTGTACTCTACTAAGAAAGTGTTATCCCAAATATAACATATGTTTCATTTTGTTTTTGTCGGAAACCACGATCCTTGCGTTCGTACTACATGTATTTACATTTAATGGAATGTACAAGCAGAAAGTGAAGTTGAAAGCAAGTGTATAAAACAGTACAAAATAATAAAATGCATTATGCTTAAAGTATTTCTAACACATTGTCATTAAATCGATTGACAAAAACTTCGTTGCACGTATGGAAATGCCATCGCGATTAGACACTGAATATCAAAGAAAAAACCGTTGAGTTAAATTCGTTGTGAGATAACATCACCGGCATAATGAATATATGACACTCAGTTAAGCTTGTTTATCCCATATAATTAATCTGAATGCAAAGAAGTTAGAAAGAACGAAGCATTTTACAGTATTCCATTCAAACTGGAAACAATTTACATTGGATATCTAGATTCACCTAAGCCAGACAACAGTTTTATCTTGAATATTTGTCTAGATACATGCATTACGTTACATTATTAAATTCAAAGGCAAATAGTATACATACAGATCCAAAGGCAATATTTGGTATTACCCATGAATAAACTATGATACGTTCCAGCACACAGCATACAATAAATGAAATACATGCTATTAAAGAAGGCAATAACTTATTGAAATGGACACGAATCTCTGACTGGAAATGATTGAGACAATGTGTTGAAATAGGACTCATATTAAGACTGCATTAAAGCTATCTCCTTGATAAATACGGAAAAGATATTTACATGCTGATGTATTTACAGAGAAGTCATGTTAAATGTTGACATGAGATAGACCCAGTCATCGGCAATATGTAAAAAAATAAATATACATTTGATATCTACAATATATGCTGTATGTACATCGATATGTCAGTGTACTGATAAGCTAAGCCACAAAACAACATGGGTATTGTAACTGCACTTTGTGATGTTCATTTTCTTAAAAATAAATCCAGCTGAAATGCGGGTATTTGTCATCTATAAACCTTTGATCGAAGTGCTGTTACATTAACATTAGATTGTAACATTAACATTATATCATTTATTCCGATTCATTCTTCCCTAAGTCAAGCTCACCCAAAGCCTCTGGCGGTCACATTTGTTGAACCTTATACTCAGCTAATGAGTTTCGGAGCTTTTTATTTATCGATGTTACGAGCGACCGACGCATTCGATCTTCTAGGGAGTTTGAGGTATCATGGATTGAGGAATTGAACTGGTGTAAAGATTCGACTCTGATTCAAGGAAACGCAACCGCGAAGGTATTGTAATTGACTACACTGGTACTCAATTTCTGAACAATACCATTCCAACTGACAAGGAATGTAGAAGAATGGAACACTGGATGAATTGAAGATGCTTCCCACGAAACACGACCGAAATACGTTACTCTTATGAGAGAATTCCAAGGAACAATACGAGAGCGCAATATCCAGATTTGGTTGACACTTCAAACTAATATTTCATTTAATCTGTGGACATGGTGTATCAGATTTTCCTTGGTATAATGATATTTTCATTTACTACAATGACTGAATTTGTATTAATGTTGTTTGCGTGTGTGCAAATGCATCTTTCTTTGGGTAGAACATTGATTCTAGGAGTATTCTGCAACCCTTTAGTAGAAGAGTTCCGCCACTGGGACATCGGACGATTCCAGCTGTGCAGTGAGATATCCATGGTTAATAGCGCTCGGAACTGAAGGTACTCTCGTGCCAATTGTCAAACAACTGCCTGTACATGGACGAAGGCAAGGCGAAACAGAAGTCCCTAGGCCCTTTCCTTTGACTCACACAGAGCCAGATGAGGCCAATGATGACGACGATGAAGGCGATGAGGAAGATGATGCCGAGGAGGATGGCGAGGGTGATGGGGTTGATGCCGTATCGACCTCTTTTGACTCCAACAGGCGTCACTGGCTCCACGTATGATGTGATGTTATCTGTGGAGGAGGGACGTTGTGTCAGGTGAACGTTACATCAGAGACATACAGTAAACCACAACGAAATGACGGATGTAACGAACCTTTTTTTTTAGATTTTAATCAAAATGTGTATGACGAATTACGGTTATGACGGAGTAGAATTTTATCATATAATTTACACAAAGAATGAAAGATATGTATTTCCAATCTTGGCTGGAATCATTACTTCTATCAACAAAATGTTTATATTACAGTCAATGGAAATCTGGTATGCGTTTTAAAGAGTATTTAGCAAAACTTGACGTAAACAAGTTTCGTATACCTCTCTCGTTTGTATTGCTCTTACCATGAATTATTTACTGAAACTGGCAGGTATGCAGGTATACCAAGAGAAAACAGAATATGTCAATTATGTAACATTAATACTGTAGAGGATGAATTACACTTCCTTCTAATCTGTCCTGTTTATACGATTCAACGAACGAAATACCTAAAGCCATCCAAGTGTAAGAAAATTCATTTCATTGTCAGCAGATACTAATACATCATTATTACAGAATCTGGCAATGTACGTATATTTCGCTATGAGTTTAAGGAAATGAAAGATTGTTATAGAAAAGAATTTGTAAATGACTTCAATTACTCATGTAAAGTTTAAATGTACTACAGGCCTGTAGCCTTTTAAGTACTGAATAGAGATTGATTGACGAGCTAGACGTATAGGTCATTTGACGTCGTTACAACTATAGTATACTGTATACATGAATGACAACTGTATGTCTTTGTTTAAGGTTCCGTCTATGTCACATTGTTTGTACATATCATAAAATGACAAGGTTCTATATCTACATTAGAGTGTGTTGAGATCATTTACACTGTCAGCAATATTCTATAATAGTGATCGATCGATGATATGCTAAAACCGATTCTCTATAGAAGTAGTAAGCAATGTTCCACCTTAGCCGTCGTGGCCTGTAAACAATAAAAGTTGGGACAACCAAAGGTCAGTAAAGATGACAAGAAATCTCAACAGACACCATTGCTTCACGACGGATCAATAAAAAAAAAAGAGCTACCTGTGTCTGATTGCTGGAAGGACGTGAGGTAGTAATCTGAGGGGGGTAGACCGCTGACGTGTGCTGGCGATTAATTCTCTCATTCTGAGAGACTGGGTCGGGGAGACAACCCCAAAATATTAGGATTTATACTCTACCAAGAAATGGTAATCACATATATAACATTCGTAACCTTTGATCGCATATTCTATTCATAGTTAGCTATTTCTGGTAAGCTACCCACCACAAACTTTCCCGTAGGTCCACGTGGGGCAGTGGCAGTAGAAGTCATCTATCCAGTCGGTGCACATGGCTCCAGACAAGCATGGTGAGGGGATGCAGTTCTCTAGGTTGGTTTCACATTTCGTACCAGTGAAACCTGCAATAAGTAACACGATTAAATGGAGTTACTTCCACTCAAACAGACCTTCTTTCAGTGAATGAATATTCATCCAATCTCATGCTATGCCATCATCACCACCAGTACGTGGAGTTGTATACATGGGACTCATACAGGTGAGGTGAAATTGGGTTTAACGTCGTGCTGAAGAATATTTTGCTCATATGACGACATGCATGCGTGTGTATGTGTATGTGCGGCTGCTTGTACTAGCCCAGGCTTAAGCTGGTTTTATAGTGCTAGCCCACTGAGATACCACGCCGCAGTGAAGCATGAATACCCCACTCAGACACATTTTACTGACTCCGAGCCGACCTGTCCTTGTTGTACCCATTAATGCCAAGCGCCAGGCAGGGACAAACAAGTACCATATTTTAACGTCTTTTGGTATGACGCGGTCGGGGATCGAACCCGCGACCTTCCGCTCTCCGGGCGGACGCTCTAACCACTACACCACGGAGGCGGTCGAGACTCATACAGACCATCTTGGAATTCATTCATATTTAACGTTTACAGATACATTTTTGGACTTCCAAGCTCATGCTTAGGGTATACAACAAGGAAAAATCATTTAGTTTGTCCCCTCCACTGATGAGATTTTGGTAGTATATATCTGGTTTGTTACAATGGACAGTTACATATTCTTACCTTTTGGGCATTCACACCTGAAAGTGTTGTCAGCGTTTAGCCAACAGAAACCCTCATTCAGACACTGGTTTGTCTGGCATGGACGATAGACAGTCCCAGGGGAGGACTCATCTGAAATACATTGACTTATTGCTCAACCCCTTTCATAGTCAGACTGGACAGCAAATACACAATGAAACAAAAATAAGTTCATCATGATGGCAAAATATCCACCCGTTTATGTTGTTGCTACATGCATTACTGTTTGTGATGAACTTGTAAGGACACACTGTGTGCTCCACTCATACTGATTAAACCGTGATAGTCACAACACAATTGCACGCGCCATCGTATACCAATTGCGCAGATCGAAGCTCATGCTGTTGATCACTGGATTGTCTGGCCCAGACTCGATTATTTACAGACCTACATGTGACCTTCCTTATAAAGGTGTTGCTTTGTTCTAACTAAGACTCAAACACGTGGCCTAGATGATATATTAAACTCATAGCCTTAACCTTCAAGCAAATACGTGAATTCGGAAAAATACTCGATTCTGATTGGTTCTTAACCTGTCACATGTCTGCATAATTAAAAGTAACAAAAGTAGAATTGATGTTGTTCCAGAATTCATGTGTGAAAAAACGTGACTGAAATGGTCGTAAAATGTTCATTGAAAGCCAGTATGTTCTAAATTCCTTAATTTGTAGCTGTATCAATAAGAGTCTCACCTGCACCTGAATCCTTCATACGTTTTTTTGTTTGTTTGTTTAGCCCTGCAGTCAGCAGTTTTCCAGCTATATGACTGCGATCTGTAAATAACCGAGTCTGAACAAGACGCTGATTGGCATCAAGAGCATCGATTTTCGCGCAATTGGGATACCTTGACATGCATCAAGCAGGGGACCCTGACCACCCTCGCCTCATGCAACAATCAGTTGTTGCTAAAGCCCGATTCCACCCCCGGATCGTCACGGGTCTATCCTCATAGGTAATCAGTAACAATAACGTAAGCGTGACATACTGCATATCTTGCCGGCGATACCATCAGGGCACACACAGTAGAAGTCATCTATCCAGTCCACACAACCCGCACCCCGGAGACAGGGGTTGGGCTCGCAGTCGTTGATGTCCACCTCGCACAGGGCTCCAGTCGTGCCTGTAACAGAACATTATAAGTTGTTCACTGGTCACGAGGGGGTCATTGGTACAGGGAACATAAACAAACATCGAGGGTACATCAACCCATTGGCCCCCAGGGACCAGTGAACAACGTATTTATCTTACCGAACACCTTAATGTTAATTTTGAATTGTTTGAAGCACGGGTACAAATCTGTTTGTAGCCATCGCTAGATTTTGCTGACAAGAAAAAACAGATTTAGAGTTATCTCCCTTCCGTCGATTTGCATTCGCAAAATATCGGTAAGTTCCGTACATCATACATGATTCAATGTTATTCGAGATAAGAATTACTACTATGAAGTACCAAATGAGTTGCCATTGACAGCGGGGTACATTGAAATGTTACTCGCTTGTTAGCGAGGTACATTGAAAATAATAGAAGAGAGCTCAGCCAATCAGAAAGCGACATTTATGTGTGAGGTAAGATAAAGGTGTTTACCATCTTTTTCACCATAGGAAATAGTAATTCTGTCTTGGATAAAAACCTTTCACCGTTGACAGTGACACCTTACCTTTCATAGCAATATTGGTTGACAGTGTCACCTTTCTAGGCATATATTCACAACAATATACGGCTGGCAGTTATACCTTACTTTTCATGCATTCACAGCGCTACTGGTTGACAGTTTCACCTAACCTTTCATGCATTCGCAGGGGTACTGGTTGACAGTTTCACCTTACCTTTCATGCATTCACAGCGCTACTGGTTGACAGTTTCACCTAACCTTTCATGCATTCACAGCGCTACTGGTTGACAGTTTCACCTTACCTTTCATGCATTCACAGCGGTACTGGTTGACAGTTTCACCTTACCTTTCATGCATTCACAGCGGTACTGGTTGACAGTTTCACCTTACCTTTCATGCATTCACAGCGGTACTGGTTGACCATGTCCACACACACACCCATCTGCCTGCATGGGTTACTGTTGCACTCGTCGATGTTAATCTCACACATCCGGCCCGAGAATCCCGTTACACACTCACACACATAGTCGTTTGCTATGGCGGTGCCGTTGAACAGTTCCTGAAACAATGTGCATGCAGTAACACCCCATTTGTATACTTAAACTACATGGTCGTTGCTTTGTAAGGGTTAGAAACCCTTGTTTGCATATGGTTATCATGACCAAATTCTTCTAAAGTGGGGCGGTGGAATAGCCTAGTGGTAAAAGCGTTCGCTCCTCACGCTGAAAGATCATGGGTACAATGTGTGAAGCCCATTTCTGGTGTCCCCCTTCGTTGCTGGAATATTGCTTAAAGCGGCGTAAATCTAAACTCACTCACTCACTCTTGTAAAGATATTACGCATTAATAATTTGTTGGAATTGTGAAATGTCCAAGGACTTGTGGAATGTCCAAGGACAGTGAGTTCTGTTTCAAACCCTAGATGGCACTATTCCAGCTATATCACGATGTCTGTATCATTTAATAAGCGCAAGGTAAACCTAAGGTTAACAGCATGAACATCAATCAGCAACATACCAACAGCAAGGACACTCCTTTTAATTCTCATTAATTTCTATCTATGGCACGACCGAGGCACAGAGGACCGGTTCGGCACGGGAACATTTAGACAGAATTATAACTGTTGTTGACCATTAGCTTAAAACATATACACTCACTTGACAAGTGCCGTCGTTTTGACATCTGTTGTGACATATCTCCTCTGAAAACAAAACCAAAAGTTTGCAATTTGTCCGTTATCAGTGGTATACACATTTACTAATACACCTGTTGCCTAAATCCACTGTAACTCCACTTCATAAGTGTTTACTCCGATATTTCAGAATACAGGTATACTGTACCTTGTTCACAGAGCAGGCCAAAGTAGCCGTTTGCGCATGTGCAGTTGTATGTTCCTGGTGGCCCTTGTACACATGTGGCGCCATTCTGACAGTTGTCTGTCAGACACTCGTTCACATCTACAACAATCAGTAGACCATTACACACATCTATCATCCGAAAACCAGACACATTATGTTTTTGACTTATGACTATGTCATCAAACCAGCAGAGGAATACTAAGTATAAGCCTGTTATCTCGACGTCTTGAAAATCATACTACCTACAAAAGATCAAAGTCTTTCATGGTTTGATAAACTGACAATACTTACCCATTTAGTTATTGCCGTGATTATTAACTTACATCGTGGTAGATGAGTACATTTAGTTTAACGAAGTTAAAGAGGTTACATAATTTTCAATCCAACTGAAAATATATACTTGTTACGAGAACTGATACCCAAGGCAATCTTAACGGAGAAAGGGGCCCTGCCGAATGAATCACTGCGATGTGCAGAGAACGTGCCTGAAACCTTATATCATGGCTTCCATACCCGTAATCATCGTAAGCCTCTAAAACCTGGATGCTGTTGTACAAAAAAACCTTAGCGCTAAGACGACCTTAAGCCTATGTAAAGGTTTGGGAATTACGGTCACCTTAGCGCTAAAATCGCTATGTACAACGGCACCCTGCATGACTTCAGGTGTTCCTCTTACATTCTAGCTGCCGCGTCTTGGTATAACTGAACTACTACTTAAAGCGGCCTTGACTCAAACACAGTTGACCTTCCCTACCTTGAGTACAGTTGACGCCAGTGTATCCCACATCACATGCACAGTTGTAGGTTCCGGCGTCGCCCTGGCTACAGGTACCATTGTTCCGACAGGGGTTGTTCTCACACTCGTCGATATCTGCAATCAGAAGGACATGGCGTTGATACACCATTATAGATGTGTATTCAAAATCATTCGTTACGTTCAACTAATATGTTTCTTTGGCAATTATTTTCATGCATTAATTAACATGAGAATGTGATAATTAGTGTATTGGTTGGGTATAAAGTCTATGTGTATTGTATGTTTTTAAAGCATCAGTTATGTAATGGGGATGAACACATGATTCATAAATGATGAAGTGGTAAAGGCGAGAGAGAAATCAGTTAGAACATAGGAACTGGAAAGGAAACAATTAATGGGCAAAATTAGAACACGGTGAAAAAATAAATAAATTTGCGGTGAGTATAAAAAACACATTTAAGGGATAAAGTGCACGCAAAATATGGAGCAGATATAATAAACATATGCATGTAACATTTTGGGTCTGTACATGTACACTCTATTTGGCCATTTTATAATCACAAAAATACTTTACCAATTTCACAACGATCTCCCCTATATCCGGTTGTACACGCGCACTGAAAACTGCCAATGATTGGCTGGGAACAAGTCCCGCCATTTGTGCAAGGTGAACTATCGCACTCGTTCAAATCCTCTTCACAGTTGAGACCGGAAGTCCCTGCAGGGCATGAGCAGCTGTAGCTTCCTCTACCCAGGGAGTTGCAAGTGCCCGTATTACGACAAGGGCTGGAGTCACATGGGTTGACCTCAATGTCACAGCGCAGGCCTCGAAAGCCGGGAGGACATTGACACGAGTAGGACCCGATGTTCGGCTGTATACATGTGCCTGAGTTGGAGCATGGGTTCGAGCTGCACTCGTCAATGTCGCGCTCACATGTCGAACCAGTCCAGCCCGGTTGACATCGACATTCGTATGTTCCAGGGGACCCTTGGAAACACAGTCCACCATTCCTGAAAGAAGGAAATTTGTTTTGTTTTGAGGATGATTCTAAAAACATAAGAAACAAACAGATGTTCTTGGAGACATAAAAATAATGTAACACTAAAGGGTTCACGAGTGGCTCGGGTTTCTAAGACGCAGCTGTTCGACTGTTTTCAGTTAAATAAGACACGTTCCCTGACTTATAAAACACTCGCCAACTACCTGAGTTCGCTGTACCTGTGATCATGATTCCAAATCCAGGTGTCGCCGTGATTATGTTTCTAGGTTTTTCAAGACCTTATCTTCGACATCGCCTGGAATTTTCCTTCCATTACAAGTTAACACGATGCACGATATAATTATGAAAAGCTGTTAAATCTCTTCACTCACCTACTGCTGACTTACTTTTACAGATTCCTCTCTATTTGACGGCAACATATCATACCTGCATGGCCTAGTGCGACACTCGTCAATGTCAATCTGACAGACATCTCCCTCAAATCCCGTTCGACAGCCACACAAGAACATTCCGAAATCAGGCTCGCTGCAAGTCCCGCCATTCTGACAAGGCCTGGAAGCACATTCCTGAATATCAACCTCGCAATCTCGACCTCGGAATCCACGGGGACAGGTACAGAAGTATTGCCCCAACCCCTGGCGGCACTCCCCATTGTTCTGACACGGCCTCCCGGCACAGTAGTCGATCTGACCCTCACACGTAGATCCGTTGAAGTTGGTCGGGCATGCGCACACCCATGTCCCGGGAACACGTCCTTCGGTGCAAGTGCCGCCATTTTTGCAGGGTCGGTCGTCACATTCATTAATGTCTGTCTCACACGTGGTTCCCGTGAAACCTAAAGGGCATGTACAGGTGTACTCTCCAGCCGCCCCTTCTGCGCATGTCCCGCCATTCAAACAAGGTCCGCTGTCACATTCGTTGATGTTCGTCTGACAACGGTCGCCTTCAAATCCACGAGGGCAGTCACAGATGAAGTCTCCTGGTTCGCCTTCATTACAGTCGCCATTGTTGAGACAGGGGCTTGAGGCGCACTGGTTGATCCGATTCTCACACCTTTCCCCCTCCCAACCTCTTGGACATTGGCACAGCCACTGGCCGAATACTGGACTGTTGATACAGGTACCTCTCCTGCAGGGGTTGATGAGGCCGCATTCGTCGATGTCGTCTTGACAGTTGTCGCCAACCAGACCAAGCGGACACTCACACTCGTAGGTTCCAGCAGTGCCTTGTCGACATGATCCGCCGTTCAAGCAAGGACCTGAGGCGCACTCGTCGATGTCATCTTTACAGTCAACACCTTGAAAAGAAACACTAGACATGAATTCAGTTCCAATACGGTTATCTGTTTGTTGTTTAACGCCACATTCGTTTTTGACTGAGCATAATAGACGAACAACCTTATGCATTATACAAAGATGTTTTGAATGAATCCGTACAAATTTGGTGGAGTTTCATTTATTTGTTTGTTTGCTGTACAAGGAAGCTCTCAGCAATATTCCAGCGGTGGTCTGTACATAAACGAGTCTGGACCAGGCAGTCTAGTGACTGTCATCATGAGCATCGATGTTCACATTGGGTATACCGAATCTCTAACAGTCTGAGGGCGGTGGGGTAGCCAAGTGGTTAAAGTGGTGGCTCGTCACGCCGAAGACTTGGGTTCGAATCCCCACATGGGTACAATGTGTGAAGCCCATTTCTGGTGTACCCCGCCGTGATGTTGCTAAAAGCGGCGTAAAACCAAACTCAGTCAGTCAGTCAGTCTAACAGCCTGATATGTATGATATCACGATATGCGAGATTATCGAAACCAATATATATGCCGTATATGTGAACAAGATCTCTTTCAGAGAATTCAAACTGCTGGACCTGAAATTATCAAAGAAGTTATCAAAACGCTACTTGGCTGAAAACAGTCCCCGAAATGCCAATTAACGTCCGAAACACAACTATGATAATTGCATTAAATAGAACGACATCTAATAAGTATTGTTTGTTTGTTTCATTGCCTTGTTTATACTTTGTTTACCTTTAATTTGCAGTTTATTAAAATGATTTGAAAATGACCTTTTGACCCACAGAATCTAAAATATGTTTAGAGTTGAATATTTCCAGAGTGCATACATGGACATCCATTCTCGTCTTTTCTGCTTGAAATAAAAGGAGCATTACATACGAAAAACACATCTCCGACCGTCAGGTATTTCTGGAGAACGACACGTACCCGTGAATCCCACAGGGCAGTCACATATGTATGTTCCAGGAGGACCTTGTCTGCAGGTTCCTTCATTCCAACACGGGCTGAGCACGGCGCACTCGTTGATGTCCACCTCACATCGGCGTCCGGTGAACCCGCTCGGACATATACACTGGTACTTCCCTGGTCTGTCTTGTCTGCAGGTGGCCCCGTTCTCGCAGGGGAAGGTTGCACACTCGTCGATATCTGAGGATTGAAAACACGTGAAATGTTACATGAAAGTTTACTTTATTTGATCGTTAAGTGACATTTGAGTTGGTTGTTTCGTTTGTTGTTTAATGTCACACTCAGCAATATTCCAGCTATATGGTGGCGGTCTGTAAATAATCGAGCCTGGAATAGACAGTCCAGTGATGGACAGCATGAGCATCGATATACGCCATGGGTATGATGACATGTGTCAACCAAGTCAGCGAGTCTGACCACCCGAACTCGTTAGTAGCCTCTTACGACAAGAATGGGTTGCTGAAGACCAATTCTGACCCTAGTCTTCATGGTGCTCCTAGACCTCGAAACATAATCAGTTCGAATCAAGGATTCTAATCCATTATTACCGGATCCCGCGGACGTGTCTGTGTACAGCTAATTCCGTGCCTAGGTTAGGCCACCCGCGACGCATCAGATTCATCGGTTCTTCTTGTGCGGTAGCATATTGGCATTAGCTCGCCGTGCCTGCATGTCTGGTTGTATTCCGCCAAAATTGTACTTTATGTTAATTTAAATTAGCTGTTCTATTGTAGCTGTAGCCAATGTGTTAAGAGAATAGTCTACATCAGACCTACTGTTGTTACTGGAGTAACTAGCTTTATTGTTGTAGCCAATGTGTTAAGAGAATAGTCTACATCAGACCTACTGTTGTTACTGGAGTAACTAGCTATATTGTTGTAGCCAATGTGTTAAGAGAATAGTCTACATCAGCCTTACTGTTGCCGGAATATTGCTTAAGTGGTAAAACTCGATTATCGCAATAATTTAGGTTTTGCACTGAATGAATACTTGTATATAACACTATATAACACCTTCTTCGCAGAATCGCCCTCTGAACCCAATGTTGCAGGAACATCTGAAGAAGTTGATCTCGTCGATGCAGAAGCCATTGAGACAAGGATTGCTGGCGCATTCATCTATACCTGGAATGTGGAAATACAACGATGTAGGTCCAGCTCATTGAAAGTTGTACAGTCAATATTGGTTAATTTATCACTGAGTGAAAGTCTGATGCCTGGTGATTATAAATATCATTATTGTGTACGGGAACATTGCAAACCAGGCATTGCTAAGCCCAAAACGAAATATGATTCTCCTCTTTTTATAAGGCTACACGACGTGCTTTGTTTTAAAACAAATTAGACATCGTCATTTGCATGATATTTACAAGCTTCGTAAACAAGAACGTCAATAATGTTGTCTCCGTTATTAAAATATCTGTAAATTCAGCCTCAAGTCCCAATTTGTGTGAACCCACTAGCGTTTGATATCCAATGTGTTAAGAGTACAGTCTACTTGAGACTCTGAGGATGCAGACGGAACAGTTCGCTAGCAACAGGGCAATAACTTTATCAGGGTCGAATGCGTAAATAGATAACTGGGATATGATAGATCAGTTAATGATTTGCCAGAATGAAGCTGTGACCCTGACCTCTTTCACACAGAGTACCAGTGTAACCAGGGTTACAGATGCAGGTGAAGTTGCCCAGCTCTGTCCGGAGCTGCTGACAGGTTGCTCCATTCTTGCACGGAGCTTGTCGACAGGGATCTGTAAGGAGTTCACAGTCAGTAATATACTGGGGCAGAATCAAAATTTGATCAAGTTTTGCGCTTGTAAAGTAAACAGGCCCCGATTTCTCGAAACAAACTTAAGTCTGAGTTTTGACTTAAGTCAGAGTTTTTTACTCAAATTTGAGAAAACAGGAAAATGCATTTCCCAGAATAAACTGAAATCAATATTAAACTCAAACTTAGTAGACAATTTGAGTTTGGTGGATAGATTACTTAAGTTGTTTGGGATATTTTTATTTAAAAAATGCAGTCTTGTTAAAAATTCAGCTGTTTCAAATTGTCAAACTCAGTTTGAAATTTGAGTAAAAACTTAAGTTTGTTTCGCGAAATCGGGGCCAGTTACATTATTTACAGTAGTGTAAACCCAGGAGATTCATAGTAAGTCACCTGTGAAATGAAGGACAAAAAATGTGATCAAGTTCTATGCTTATTCAATTAACCGTTAAACATCTACCAAACTGTAAGAAAGGGACACCCTACCCGTACGGGGACGATTTGTTACCATCTTCTAGACACCATAATTCATCTTGTAGGAGAATATTTATCACTCATTGGTCAGGACATGTTGCATAAGAAAATGATATGCGTTTCTAAAATTGAGGAGCAGATGATGATGTTTTTCCACAACACATATGAACGCTTGGTCCAGGACAGTGGCAGTGTCTCGTACTCACTTGAATCCACTATCTGCCGCTTCTGTCTTGAGAGACCCACTACGTCGTTGGTGACATCGCTCTGGTCAGAGTATAAATAGGGCTTCTTCTCGACGGTGCCTGTCTCGTGCAATGGCATAGCTGAAAAATATGTTTTATTTGTAAATTACTGTTTTAAACGAAGATTTTGTTCTGAAATCTATTCAGTCTAAAATGTCTATGACTATACCCGGTGACACGACATTATTGGCAATGAATTACACTCGAATTTGATGCCAAATTCTATGTATTTCTGCACATACCGTAATCTTAGAACAAGTCATGCACCCATTGTCCGATAACGCTGAAACAATATGTCATATACGTTCGTTCACTTGTTTGTTTTAACGAAGTATTTGGCAATAATCTAAATATGTTTCAATCACAGGTCACGATGACGGTATCAGCTATAAATTTCCGAATCTGATCACCCGAGTCTCCGAACTGCTGGAGAAATATTATTATCCTAACAGGGGAAATACATGCAATATTATAACTAATATCTATACATTGTATATGAACTAATATTAATTAACATATATAGCACCACCGTCGCTGTGCCGAGTTGCGTCCCTTGGGTGTGGCAGAATACAAAGTTCGATATGCTTTTGTTTCATTTTGACAGCACATTCCTGTGCTCATAGTTATCACGAGATACACAAAACTCGATGACAGGACGTGATTAGGGACTACTATTTGTTTCAAAGGGCATAAAATCAAAATCACTACACACGAAAATGTACCTGTATCACAAAACATGCCCGTCCAGCCATCATTACATTTCCTACTTCCGTCCTCCAGGCACGTAAAGCGACCTTGACCTGATTCTTCATCACAGTACATGTCACATCCGGGTCCATAAAGGTGTCTGCACACTGGATCTGCCATAAATCATGTGGTCATTGTATTGTGTGTTCCAAACAAACTGTAGATAGTCATCATCATCATGCCTTTTGAGAGTTTCAGCCCAGCAATACACGATGTACAAATTGGCGAAAGGATGCAGGCAAGACCCATCGGCCATCACACAACATTTATTTCAACTTTTAAAAAAAATATTTGTTCTGTAGTTCATTTTTCTGGATATTTCTTTTAATACACACGATTATTCTGAATACAGTTCACTCAACACCTTGTGCATCTAAACACTGGGCTAGGCAAATGTTCCTGCGTTTGATGATAATCACAACTGCCAACCACAACCATGTTCTTTCGAATGTTTTGGCAAGTCAACGACCTGGGACTTTCTTGCCATTGAGATATTTACTTTGTGTCAGGCAGTCGTTGGGGAAACCTACTCCTAATGACCCGTTTCCTTCCAAGTCAGGAAAGGTGCCACACTGTTCCTGGGCGGCCAACACAATGGCTGTTCTTGCTATACACCATGCGTGTGTTTTCTCTACATTTGCCTCACCATGAACAAATTAGGTTACAAGCAAACATCAACACGTTTTGCAAAAACACTGTTTCCCAGAGACTGACAATGGGCCATACGTAACCTGTTGTACCAAATACCCCAGATTTCCCTCACGCAAATATCAGAGTCTAATCACTCGTGTTAGGCTTCTGCTTAAGCATAACGAAACATATGTGTCTTTAAATGTATCAATTGTTATGGTAAATGAGATTTAAAAGAGACCAAAATGGAGTGGGGAGAGTTAACTAATACTTTGTTACATATGGTTATTTTGGGGCAGAAAAACATATTTGCAGACAATATTTTTAAGACATCCAACATGTTCGGTGAACAAATGATTTCGGACCAACCCAAAACATGTATGGGTGCTTGATTTCCCATTGGAGCTAGCTCAGTCTGAAAGACCTACCTCGACTTTCACGAAGGCATCGTTAACGTCGTTCACCTTCCCTTTTTCCACCCACGTTGTCCGTGGTCGGTAGGAGGTCCAGGCTGCTCTTTGACCAGGGAGGACGACACTGTGTTGCGCCACTGGCCATGGAAGGTCGGTACCGGTCTTGTACTCTAATCTCAGTATGAGTTCCATGGGCTGAGCGGAATAAATACATGATGGTCAGAATTCTGTAGCACGATGTTTTACAAGACACATGATAACGTGTCCATGGTGTAATGTTTAAATGAACATACAGGCGTGAGTATTTTGTTGGGAGTTTACAGCAAGTACGCGATTAATAAAGATTCGGGTTTGGGTGGGGGATAGGGGAGTCAAGTGCTAGGATTTATGTTGGTCAAAATACATCTTTCGTCACTGATTCAGGACATTGTCCACTATATTGAACATTTCCATCAAATAAAAGCTACTCCCAGAACTGTTCCCGAACATGAATTTATCAAATTGTCGGTTCCAATTCGTAGTTGAGCTAAGCCGCCTCCCAAAAGAAAGCATACACTTGAACATTGTATTTGAAAAGATAATTTCAAACATCACAACGGTAGTAGGTTAAAAATAGTTGCCGAAAAACGGCAGTCTTAAGGTCAAAAACGTAAATACAATCAAAATACCATTCCTTGTCTATTACAATTTCAGCCATCTTGAAACATGGCTGCAGTTAATTAAAATGTGGGTGATCACTTGAGGCACGAAGAAGCACAGAATGACACAGAATGGTCATCCGATCTCCATATCAGCAGCCTCTTGACCACAGGGTATGGATGTACATTCTGCCTGTTTGAGGTCGTTATAGGTCCTTCCTGGATCCCTATATCAAATGTCCGCTATACTGCTTAATGCCTCATTCACCTCACAGAATGCCGAGCCCCTTGTTGTGACCTTTGTACATTTTAATATCCAGACAATAACCACGCCCATCAGCCGAAATACATTCAACTGGACGCTAGAGGCAAAGTAATAGTGATTTGCGAAAACACTGATGAACATACTACTACCACTACGGTTACTACTACATATACCACCGTCTTATCATTATTTAAAGACACGCATTGTGCAAATCTACAAAAATTAACAATCGTATTCATTATCCTGTTACAAGGATCAATGTACATACATTTCTCCGCACCTTATACATCATCATGAAAACTAATCCTATCTTTGATCTCAGTAGTCCTGGTTATGATGAACTACTATGTGTTCTCTTCACGCGTATGTCTGTCTGTCTGTCTGTATGTGTGTCTGTCTGTGTTTGTGGGTGTCTGTATGTCTGTACATATATGCATGTGTGTATGTATGTCTGTATGTGTGTATGTCTGTCTGTCTGTCTGTACGTGTGTGTATGTATGTCTGTACGTGTGTGTATGTCTGTCTGTGTGTGTATGTCTGTATGCATGTATGTATATGTGTCTGTATGTGTGTGTATGTATTTATGTATGTCTGTATGTGTGTATGTCTGTCTGAATGTAAGCATGTATGTGTGTGTGTGTGTCTGTATGACTGTACGTGTGTGTATGTCTGTCTCAATGCATGTATGTATGTATGTGTGTCTGTATGTCTGTGTATGTTATGTATGTATGTGTATGTGTGTATGTATGTGTGTATGTGTGTCTGTATGTCTGTGTATGTTATGTATGTATGTATGTATACGATGTTGTTCTGAAGCATTTCACCTGAAGCATTTCAACTCTTTTGGTAAGAGGAAAAGTTTGGTTCACACCTATCAAAGTGCAGAGGATAATAATCAGTGCACATCTTGGATTCCATACACGATCATCGGGTTCTGGCACACGGAGTCCATTTCCAAGGGACACAACTCTATACGGACAATCATGGCGCTCACTCCAGTCATACGCTACAGTTTGTCACCGTTCGTAATTGAGTTGTGAAAGGTACGCCATGAGCGCCAACACACGTCACCACGACAACGTCTTAATTGAAACCCTATAACGACTGAAGGTGGGAGTTGACAATCCGTGCTTTCAACTAGCATTCCAGTGTTGCCATAGCAGTGGTTCCAAACAATTGTCTCGTGCATTTGTTTGAACGTCACAAACACATGGCCCATGTGCTGACCACGGGCTGGCTGGCTGAATCTGTCCACTTCTCATGGAACGGGGAAATCTGACCACCACTCAACAAATGTGTGTATGTGTCAAATGAAGGACATGTTCAGGCAGTGTATGAAATAAGCCAAAAATACAGCCAGACATCAGGGCTGGTAACTTCAAAATGTTACTTCTGTATTTATAGAGACGGATGTTTGGTTACACATTCCCCTGCAAATAACATAATTATCGTCTCGCATGTGAATGAGAAGGTAGGTGAGGTGGGGTGAAATTGGGTTTAACGTCGTGCTTGAGAATATTTCGCTCATATGACGACGTGCATACGTGTGTATGTGTATGTGCGGCTGCTTGTACTAGCCCAGGTTTTATAGTGCTAGCCCACTGAGATACCATGCCGCAGTGAAGCATGAATACCCCACTCAGACAAATTATACTGACTCCGAGCCGAACAGTCCTTGTACCCATTAATGCCGAGCGCCAGGCAAGGACCAACAAGTACCATATTTTAACGTTTTTTGGTATGACGCTGTCGGGGATCGAACCCGCGACCTTCCGCTCTCCGGGCGGACGCTCTAACCACTACACCACGGAGGCGGTGAATGAGAAGGTAGAGTCTGTGGTATGAAGATTGTGTGGTGTAATGAAGGGGGTTTCTGAACATTGATTGACCTTCTAGGACCAGTGACATCCTTAAGTCGGCTTGTTCACGCTTGATAACCTGTGTTCACGCAAATCTTGTGTGCCCAGCTGATCACTCATGCTACGATATCCACTCTCTTACCACGTAGTCAGTAACCGCACTTGATCTATTGTTGAATAAGGGTTTAAGCTTCTTTTCTCAAATCGAATAATCCAGATAGATCACCGGACTGGAAATGGTAGGACGGGTGGGGGACACAGAGATATGAGCAGAATGTACCCATATAAGAATCAAACTCAGGCATTCTACGTGAACGCTTCAACCTGTAGATCATCCTACCATCCACTTAATAAAAGGAATATTACAATTCACTTAGAGAGGGTGTGTTCCACGAGAAGTTTTTAAATATTTTTTGTTGCCGTAGGCAGCAATTTTCAACCCACATCACGATATGTTCAACCCCGTTTAATCAGATAATTTTTTGTGAAACACCCGACACATCTATGAATACTGTTTTGTGTGGAAATTATACAAAGCAAGGTTAACTACTATGTCCGTTCAAGCTCCAACTATTGTATTACACTCTTGAACTACTTGACTATTTCACTGACCATGTTCATCAGTTTTGGGATAACAAGAACTTATACAAAAATGATACTGGAGTGAGATCTTCAGATCTTGAGTGAGTTAATTATATTTCGCACCACCCTTTATCAATCTGTCTACAGTACCAATGTTAGAAACACTAGAAAACGGGCATAACACGTTGTACCGATGATGGCAATCACGGGTCTGTGGCGTGACGAGCGAGCTCTTTAACCAAAGTCTACCCTAGTGCCCCAAATAACTTTGAAAAATACAGTGACAAGCATGTATATATGACTCGACACGCGACGAACCCAATGTACATGAAGTCACAGAAAGAGCTCTCGGCATGTCGCCTACCGAGGCGAGCGTTCCGAGCCGTGGTTGGTTCGTGTTTGTTCTACCTGTCCCGTCAAGGTGTGGAGGTTGGTGGTCGGGGGTCGGGAGGACTCAAGCCTGCGTCTCCGTGACGGGGACGAGGGTTGGGGGATCGTCAACTGCGTCCATTGACCTTAAGAATAACCGGAGCTGGTTTTAGAGATAATGAGGGTCTTACACAAGGTTTTCTGTAGGATGAACGGTATTTACAAGGCTTTGACTCCTCGGAAATGTAATTTGTCGATCATTTTTGTAAATGGCGCTTGAAACGATGCTGTGTAAATTACGTTAAGCAATGCTTCTTTAGTTGTAAATACTACACGACGAAGTATGATATTATTCTATAGTCTAAAGAAAATTATTTGAAAAATCATAATGGATGGGAAGGTGTTTGGATATGTATTGAAATACATTACTTTCTTTTCTGTAAAAGCATGCTGTGGAATTAAATCAACACCAAATGAAGAAAATGTGTTTCTGTTCTTAAATTTGGCTCAACCTTATATTAGTACAAAGATATGTTGAGACGGATTTGCTTATAGTTCAATTTATGTCTGGAAATTTTAAAATGAATAAACACGTCAAAAAGAAAATTGACTTGTTGAAGAACATGAATGACAACTTTCAAGACGTTGTTTAAGTTTTTCCAAAGAGTTCTCAATTTCAGGCACAGTGTTTCCATTCTACGTGTGGTGGAGATGTTTCAGGCACAAATTTCAGGAGACGATTATATAATTGTGACGTAAACAAACCTTTCCTGTGATATATCTAAGCACATGGGATAATAAAAGTACTGAAGAATCTACCGGAACCGTTTGGGAAAAACTAATATTTGGTTTAACCTGAGTTTTGGATTTTGCTACTGAAACAGATCAAACTGTCCCCAAGCTCTTGAAATAATACTGGCTGTGACTAATTGAAAAACAGATTAGCGTGAAAGGTCAAGTTCCGTCTCGCTGCTCCGTCAAACCAAGAATAAACGTTGTGTTTGGAGGTTGTCTTGACAGTGTGGATGCTAGATGTCCTCGGTGGGGTTAGGTGTAGGTGACAACAGCACTAGAGGTTCCTCAGATGAGGTCATTCCCATTGACGAACGTGTTACTGTTGTTGGCAAAGAAATGGATAAGAAATGCGATAGTTAAGGCGCGACGGGTGGTTCAGTTGGCTATGTGTTCGTCAGCAAACATGAAAAGTCGAGGTTCAAGACCCAATGACAATGTTTTTTTCAGGTTCTGCTTATTTCATTCATGTTCATTATGCTCATAGTGGGATCCCGTTGGTTAACGGATGTAATTAGTCTTACTTGCGTCGTGTCATTGTTGGTTCGAATCCCATATTCGGTGTAATTATGATCTTATGTTTGCCAACTCCAAACTCGTGTTTTAGGCTTCATTAACGTTGTACAATAGGTGATCAAGTGATCTAAGGCGAATGTTCTGTGTTGAGTTACGTCTCTTAGATATGTCCGGATCCACTTATTAAAAGTCGAAATGTTATGAAAACGTGATGATGATCTCATTCTCATTAAAATGAAATCTTTTACTCCAATGCGATACCTCTCTGCCTGATGATCGGATGGCCTCTGCAGGAGGCCAAGACAGGTATATTCTGTACTGACCCAGTCCGCCTCGATACTAGCTGGAAAAACATTGACAGGAGCATATGTGATCCCTGTATTTCGAAACCGAGAGATCGACATTTCCGAATGTTAGAAATTATAATAGTCGGATGCCTTACTTATTTGTTCTGTATAAGAGCGGTGGGGTAGCCTTGTGGTCAAAGCGTTCGCTCGTCAGGCCAAAGACCTTTTTTCGATTCCCCATATGGGTACAATGTGTGAAGCCATTTCTCGTGGTATTAAATGGATATTGCTATTAAAACGGCGTAAAATCACACTCAGTCACTCCCACAGAAACATATAATTTCATTATACTGTTACATACCCTCAACGGCCCCTTGATGTTGTATTCCCTGCTGGCAACTTTATCCTGTACATCTGTCAGGGAATCCTCGTCCCCTGAAACACATAAATAACAACCTGACAATGTGAATAATAGGGATAAGATGAGGGTTTCCGTTTGGTTCCATGATCAGTGATCAAACACCATAATGACACGGTCATTGACAAAATAGTTATGTGTGTTGTTATAATTTCTGTAATATACGGGCCAGACAAACCGGTGACTTATGACATAAGCCACGACCCCTTACCCCAAGCAATCAAGCCTGACCGCCCGTTTCATTTAGTCACCTGGAATGTTAAGAATGGATTCCTTGGGACCTGTTATAATTCGAAAAAATACATGTCTTGATAGCGTGAGGGTATAAAACGCATAAATGCAACTATTTTCTTGACAGAAACCATGATCTTTAATAAATCTGAATCATTTTGTAAATGATGATAATGCAGTCCTCAGAATTCTTCATAAGAGCAGTCTGCAAATAAAGGGAAATCAATGTACAGCGTTAACTCGTTTGGACGAGTCAGGATCCGTGATTGTAGCTCGATACCGATCCTCCGTTATTACGATACTTGATTTGTCAACGCCTTAAACGTGATCGTGAATTTTATCAAGATGAATCAGTAGAACATAGCATGAGCAGTGAGGAAAATCATCGGGATAAAATAACAAACAACGTTAAATGTCAAACACTGTGTCAGCTTGATCATCATCAACTCCAGCCCCAACAACAATCAGGACGAACCAGCCGGTGAAGGTAGATGGCTTTATCCAAACTGGGTTTATTTTCAAACAAATCCCACCACGACCACCTCGCCCTACCCTCTAGTCCCTCCCCACAACACACACACACACACATACAGATCAAGCCACCGGCCTCTTTAACGATCTTGAAGGACACACAATGCACTGAATTGGTTTAACACCAACAAGTATTTCCGTTATACCATGGCGTGTCTGCTTAAGTGGGAGGTAAGCCCGAATCAAGTCACTCAAGCTGTAAATGTTTACCACTTTGATGATATGCGCGAACACAGGTAAAGTGTTTACCTGAAAAGAATCATTATAATCATTAAGGGCAAGTTTTTTACCCGAGTATTAAATTCGTAGTTTTCATGCAATGATTTTAAGCAGGATAAACAAGTAAAAGAAACGCACCCAGTCACTTTAACAAACCAGGCATTAATATTTGTCCTCGGTATTTTTAGCATATTAGTATTGGCTCACACTCGCATGAATAAATTATCCTGTATGAGTCGAGTCATTAGGTCACATGTCAACAATGCATCGGCTTTAAATGGCAATTGTAATTTCATTGAATCTGTCGTGTCCATTTTTAGGATTCAAACAACCTAAAATATCAAAATGTCAATCATCTGACTAGACAATTTGCAGTATACAGATTCAAGCTGCTCAATAATCCTTAGTATGTGTCCTTGCAAGGCAAACTGTAATTACAGCATTGTTTTAAACTGTGGCACTGTGTCTGTGTAATTAACTGCAAATTGAATACAATGACTTGATTCATACTTGGCAGGACCGCTTGTTGCTGCCTTCAATATGGACAAGTCATAGATTAATAGAAACATAACTAGGAACAGGAAAATTTAGAAAACATTAGGGAAACGTTCAATGTAAAAGTAAACAGTTTTTAGAGTAACCATTATAAATTTTTCAAATACAATTACTTGTAGCATGTTACATTGCACAATGAAGTCACACCAGAACCACGCCATAACACCCACGTGTTCCAGGTGCTAAATAAAACATTTACAACTAAGTTTCAAGTCAGTTCCAGCTTCAAGGCGTCTCTTGTGTGTTTTTGTATAGAGATTTGTAAAGGGACTTGACGAGAACTCTCCGGCTGCACGGAAACACAAACTCGGGCCGAGCCCACAAACACATTGAGTGGGATTGGTTAGAAGGCTAGGTGTATATAGAGACGGACAAAGTAAATTAACTCTGGTGCTTTAGTTGTTTGGTGGTAAACCTGTCACAATTGCGACACCGCTAGAAGTGGTACCCCTTGAAGTAAAGGGGATACGGGCACCAACAAGCCACGCTCTTGGTTGCTATAGTTCAACTGAGAGAACAACTCCGTCATATTACGGAGAGCGTTATGGATGCGCTAAACCAGTTCGATAAACTTGGTATCACGATCTGATAATACGCAAATGACGACAAAGAGACAATAACCCCTTTAATAAGCTATTGATATACATTGATGTAATACGTCCTTGACAAATAGAACTATAAATAACGATTTAATATACGTCAATATGTACGTCAACAACATGCAACTTATTTAGCATTGCAATGGGGCCGGATGTGTCACTGACTCAATTTTATAATGGGATGGTTCACCGACTCTATCGATGTATGTAAGCAATTCAAATTAAAATATTTTATACATCACATTATCTGAAGGTAAATATCACATGTAGAGAATAATAGACATATGTTACGGTCGCAAACAGGCTCGTATAAAAAATGTTATTTGTTAACTTGTCCATATATATCGACTTCACGTAAGGCAAATCACCCAACTGCAAGTAAGCGTTTTGATGAATGATATTTGTCGCAATAAACAACGTTATTCCAAGTATATTAAGGGCTCTATATGCGAGTTTGAATAATAAAACCAGTGAGTAACTATCCCACCGTTTGTGTATGCAACATAATCACATTGCAGCCACCCGATTCACTTAATAGTATTAAAACAAGCATAGTGTGCTGTAGAAATCGTGTTCCCGGATACCATTGTGAACCTGCAAATTACGTTTCGTGACATGAACTACAGAAAAAATACATTTGAGAAAAAACAAACAAAACATTATCAAGACGTTACTAAGGTGAAATTAGTGGCTTAATATCCAAACAATCACTGTGACACAACTACATCACCATCGAATAATAATAACCCGTGAAGAACCGGGTTAGAAGTGATCTTCAGTGACCCATGCTTGTCGTAAGAGGCGACTAACGAGATCGGGTGGTGAGGCTCGTTGACTTGGTTGATCAACGTGTCACCGTATCCCAATTACGTATATCGGTGCTCATGCTGTTCATCATTGGATGGTCTATTTCAGGATCGATTATTTACAGATCGCCGCCATGTAGTTGAAATATTGGTGAGTGCGGCGTTAAACAACAAACAGACGAACTAACAACAAACAAACAAACAACAAACAGACGAACAAACAAACAACAAACAGACGAACAAACAACAAACAAACAAACAAACAACAAACAGACGAACAAACAAATAACCAATCATTGTGTTTTCACTTCTTAATTTTCCACCTATAAACAATGGTGTATACCAGCAGTTAAAAACGTTTCAGCATCACATAGCCCACGAAAAACGAACATAAGATTTTTTTAATCGAGACAAATAGACTATTAATACATTCGTAGATACGAACATGTGTCTGTTGAAAGATCAGCCTGGTTTTTGTTTGATGAATAATTCAACAGAGGACATGATCCACACTGCTTTAATCATTTTTTCATGTAAAGGAAATGTTTGTGATTAGGAAAGGTGTTCCTTGCGCTGTTTATCCGGCGTGCAAGCCTTCAGTAAAATCCTGGGCAAATAGTGTGTGTGGTACCAGGTAGTGTTCACAGGAGCGCCTCGTCGAGCAATAAAAACATGCACACGCATTTACACAAGGGGCATGAAGATAAGATTAACCAGCGCCCGGGGGGTGCCACAGAGGAACGCCATGTCAGATTCAGGAAAGAGATGGTATCAGCAGTTATTGGTATTCAGTAACCGTCGATGTTACACCAATCGATCACACCAATGCAGCATTTATTATTACATATACTACCCAAAGGAAGAAGAGAACACGCTTCTTTCATATAACTGAAGTTAATCTGTCATGCCATGACCGATAAATTAAGGTACTGTGTATTGAAGTGTAATAGTTCCATAGTATACATTTTTATATCATTTTCGTAGATGATACTTTCGTCTACATAGAAGATACTCGCATCAACGTAGATGATACTATCATTCACCTGATGAAGGGGCAAGAAGTAGCCCCAAAACGTCGTGTTGTAAATATTAAAGAAGTTGTAAATCCATACCATACGTTGTTATGTAGATGATATTTCCGTCTACGTAGAAGATACTTGCATCCACGTAAGTGATACTTACATCTGCGATTAAGTCATATATACGTGTATGTACTATATCCTGCGTTTGTATGAACTTAAATCCAAATAGGGGCATATGAAAATACCAGTGTCTGAGTTCCCACATGCATGATCATAATACCAAATATGGAAATGGAAAGTATGATCTACGTGGATGATTCCTAAATGATGAAATATGTTACTCAAGATCTAACACAGCAGGTACAAGAGTGAGTGAATTAGTGAGTGAGTTTAGTTTTACCCCGCCTTTAGCAATATTCCAGCAATATCACGGCTGGGGTCACCAGAAATGGGCTTCACACATTGTACCCATGTGGGGAATCGAACCCAGGTCTTCAGTATGACGAGAGAACGCTTTAACCACTAGGCTACCCCACCCGCCCCAGATACAAGAGGCACATGTGGGCAGCGGGGGTTTGGGGTGGCGATATCTTTCAGCTACAAATAAAAAACCCCAGTTATTTTGTATATTAGCAACGAGCCTACCTATATTGCTTAGAAAACACCTTTCAACAATTTGTTTCAGCCTCACACAATTTTCATTTTTATTACAATCTGAAGCATAAATACTTTTTTCATAATTTCTTTTCTGAGGGGAGCATTATGAAAATCATTATGGAAATTATCAGTCCTTTCCTAAATGTTGTGCATTGAATAGTTTTATATCAATTAAATGGATAAAGTATCCAGTGTCGTCTTTGACGTGCAGTATTGACGAGCTGTATTTACGGAACAAGGGAACAAGGGATGTTTACGGAACAAGGGATGCGGATTAATATATGAACTCAATAAATCAATTACAAACTGTGCATTATCTATAAGCTAACAACATTCCTCAATGGAACTCACTGAACGGGGGAACTCGTTGTGCTGTGGGTTTCTGATAGCGTTTATA